GGCAAGCACTTTAACTCGATATTCTTTGGTAAATTAGGAACCCCAGCAGTGCAAAATAACCTCCACTTTCTGATATATAAACAGGTTGGGTGCGGTATTGTCAAAACTTTTAAATGACTGGTATTTTAAATAACATCCTCAGAGGTTGCTAAATGAAATAGTCCTCTTTTCAGATTACAATGTACATGTACTTTCAAAAACTACATAACATGTGGATCACTTTTACTTGAAAGGCTTTGAAAGAAAATTTGAAATTGTTTTCTTACACTGAAACCGTTTGTTTTAATTTGTCTTTTTTTAATACCTTAAATAAAAAAAATAGTTCTGGAACTACACACCAATCAAAAAGGAAAGAACAAAGCTACTCTTGACAAAAGTTTCAAGGATACAAGCATGTAAATTTATTGCTTTTAATTGACAGAGTACTGGAAAGTGGCTCTTTGATTATGGATCACATACACAATCTCCAGAAATTATGCAGAATATGTGCTGAGAGAGTAAATCTATGGAAAATCCATAACAGGCAACTTAAGCCTTGCTCAGAAAATCAAGAGAAGATACAAGCAAAGTATAAAATCAATGTAGAAACCGATGAGCCACATTGCCACCCTCCCTTCATGTGCCATCTTTGCAGTTCAAAACTTTATCATGCAAAGACACATCCTGTGCCAAATGATTGGCCCCCCACCCTCCAAGAGGCCCCTGCTTTATTTGTGACAAGGTGAACATTTCCAAAAGAGGTGATCGTCCTTCGAAAGGGAAACATGCTCGTCTTATTACTCTTGACAGGGAAGAGGAGAAAGCCAAGGCAACTGTGCAGATGAACTTTGAGTGTCTTAGGAAAACAACGACTCCGACAATGGGGCAGGATTTTCAGTCAGATGATAGTTCTTTCATTTGCAAGTACTGCTGCAAAATCTTCAACAGACCTACTGAAACACAGTGTGAACACATTGTTTGCTTGGAATGCCTAGAAGAGCTGTTTTTCAATCGTCATCTTCAACAGTTCTTTGCCCAATATGTAAGAAACAAATCATCCTTCTACATATCCAACCTGCCAACCACTACTTTGTGAATGTCCTCATGAATGGGAGGGTCAAGTACAAGAAATGCAACCAAAGCAGTTGGCTCAAAAATGCAGAAAGACATGACTGCTGTAATCCACAAAGTTCAGCACCTGTTGATGAAAAGATATTAAGAGATATTCTAAACCATGCAGTAACTTTTGATGTGTAGAGGCATGCATAGCCTTAGCTATGTTGTAAGCACGGTTCGCAAATAATAATAACATAATCTATAAACCAAAAACCGACATATTTATAAATGAACGTACATGTACTGTGCAGTGGAGTAAACACACAGGCATATTTGTCGTGTATATGTTTGTCTTTGTCAAACTTGTTAAAAATAATGCTATTTGAAGATAGGTACCTGACGGCATGTTATGGAATTCCATATCTGCCGTCGCCCG